CCTCCCTCCCTCCCTTCCTTCCTTCCTTCTTTTCTTTCTTCTTTTTCCATTCTTTTCAGACCAGTTATGTGTGTCCCTGGCAAGTCTTGCCCTCTATGTACCCCAGACTGGCCTGAAACTCACAATCTTCCTGCTTCAGTCTCTGTGTGCTGGGATTACAGGCGTGTGCCATCAGGTGGGGCTTTGGACATACCTCTCTAAGAATTACCCATTGGATAGATGAATAAAACACATTCGCCACTGACACGTAAAATCACAGAAAAGGACAAACTGTCTAATTTTTCAGTAATGAGTAGAAACGCCCACCTACGTGCATATTTATCTGTACTGTAAAAAGACTAACGCCAGTATCTCAAAGGATCTTTAAGGGAAGCATTATATTTGTAATTTTCTTCACTCTACAGTAAAGTTTTCTTAATCGTTGTACCAATGCCATTTAGTATGATTGTTTCTATTTCTTCTTCATAGGGAGAATAAAGGCATCAGAATGTAGACCGACTTTTACACAGAATCCTAGCCACATGGAAGCTCCCTCTTTCTTCATCCCTCACCCGAACATTTCTCTATCTATTGGTGTCCTTATGCCCTTACAGGAGAGAGAAGATTCTAGTAAAGCAGTAAGTGGCAACTGGAGGCCACTTCCTAAGTCGCTGCATCTGCATGCATTTTTACTACGAACTTGTTGAGCACAGCAATTTATAGCTCTGTAAATAAGACATTACTTTGAGATAACATTCAGCCATGTGAAGTCACCAGCTAACCGGTGTAAGAAGATGCTTAAACATCAGGTGTAATATCCCTTATATCTGATCTTTAATTTAATTTTTAATTCTCTGGAAGAAGAAACATTTTCAGTCAAAAAATATTAGTATTAATTTTTAGGGGTCAACTGTAAGTTCCTTAAGGTAAGTATTTGACTCAATTCTGAAATTAATGGGGCAATATTTAAATGGATCAGTGCATCCATTTATTTAGCAGTTTATGACACCTAATTTTAAGACTAACATTTTTCAAATGTGTTATTACTTTTCCAATCATACATAAGTAGACGTCTGAAACGTGGTGAAGATAAATTAACCCTTGCTCTTATTGCTTCCAGCACAGCCTGCCAAGTTTCACACAGCCGAACAATATGCTAAGGTAACACGAATTTACCCCCCGAAATGTTTCCGCGTTTTGCAGAGAGGGCAACAAAATGAAAGGCTGCCTTGTATCTCTTGCATGAAAATCTTGAGATCAATTTGCTGTCACAGATCATTTAACAGACGACAATGACCCAAGAGGAAGGAAACTGTCAACACACTGTCTCATGAAAAAAAAAATTACCATCTTTAGACACAATCGTCTCCATTGTCTTTTGTCTGTTTGAGGATGACCTATGACCCTCTCCCTTTGTAGGGGGGTCCTGTTCAGTTTCAAACTGTTAGCCCTTTGGGGATTGCTTTTCTTTTTTTCAGAATAATTAAAAATATTACCCTAAAAGGTATAACAGGGGTTAGCTTGAATACACAAAGCAGAATATCTTAAAGGTTTGCATTCCTCTATGTTTACATAGAGGAAACAGTTCCTTAAAATTATAGTCACTATGTTTAAAATTAATTAGTTAGACTACCAAACTAAGAAGGAGATAAATGGTATAACAATATGTCTGTAGCTCCCATCAAGATCAGCAGCATACTGAATATCATCGCTGATGATGAAAAAGGAGAAAACACAAATTTTAAAAATCATACTGGACAGTCAAGTTGGGTTATTCTGTTGATATAAGACATAATCCTGACAGAGAGAAGAGAACAGCTTTCTCTAGTCCCATAATAAGGTGTTGATTTAGATAGCATAATATATTGACTGTCCTTCTTTAGAAGTGGCGATAGGCAAAAGAATTTAGAGGAAGACAGTAAAGCTTTTGTTTGGCGGTCATCAGGGAGTCGTTTGAGACACACGTCTGTGGAAAGGGAGGAGGCATCCTAGGCTCGGGGACAGACTCAGCCATGTTCGGGACTCGGTTATGGTGTGCCTGCATGTACACACAGAGCGTCTTGGGGGAAGGGAAGACAAGGCTGAGGCAGCTGAGCTCAGTGGAGAGTTCAGATTGAGAGCAGCCAAAGGCTGTTCCAATGGGTGAAGCTTGGTGGTACAGGATCTTCACATACAGGCAGAGAGGGCTCAGAACTGGCTTACCGACTTGGTTCATCAGGACTGAGGGCCATCAGTGGTTCCGAAACAGGAAAGTAAAGAAGGAGCTGGGGCTTGAACAATGGTTTCCTCAGGGGTCTCACACAAGGTAAATTCCATAAGACTAAATGTAGGCTCAGTTAGGAAACGAAGTGATAGAGGTACAGGCTACCCGAGACTTAATGGGGGTGGGAGCAAAGGTTAGGAGCAGGTACAGACGAAACCATGATAATGCCGAAGAAAGATGAGATTAGCCAGTCACCTGACGCATGACAGATGAAGGCTTGTTGGGTCAAAACTTTCCTGAAGCCCAGAAGACTAGGTCTCTAGTAACAGACAGCATTACGTGGGACTGAAGTAAAATATGAGTGTAATTTAGAGACTGACTCACGAGATGAAATGACCAAGAAACCAGAATGACCTTTAGGGGGTCTGAGGTGAAATTGGGAATGGAAAAAAAAAAACAAGAGAGAGACAGAGACAGATTAACAGATGAAGCCATTAAGGAAAACAATCCCTAAACCAGTGGTTGGAAGAGGACGAGTAGACACCAGCTTAAAGGGAGCCAGTAAGGGTGCAGTCTGGTGCTTAGTTGAGCTGTGACCATCTGCTGTTGAGTTGCACAGACACAAAGGCAGATGTAAGCCCACGGAGCCTAGGCAATGTGGAGGAAAAACAGCCTCCTTGACAGCACATGGAAAGGGGACCTAGAGGCCTGCTCTCAGGAGGAGCCCAGGCTGGAGGTCATTTCTAAAGGCAGGGCAGGAACTCCCCTGTGGACTAGGGAGCAGGGCATTTTTTGCAGAGGGTGATGTGGGAAAACATGTGTCCCACAGACTGCCAAACACAGTAGCCCCTGCTTATCCACAGGCAGTGAGAGAATTCCAAGACCCTCAGTGGATGCTGAAATCACAGGGAGTACCAAACTCTGTGTGTGCGCGTGTGTCTCCCCCTATGCATCCGTACTAATCCCTTGTTTTGTTGCTATAACAAAATACCTCACAAAAACAACTTAAGGAAGGGTTTATTCAGGATCACAGTTGGAAGGTGGGAAGTCCTGGTGGCAGCTGGTCACATTGCAGTCAAGAAGAAGAGAGCAATGCACGTTGCTGCTTGGCTCTCCCTTTCCTTTTAAAAGACGCCTTGGGACGTGGAGCTAGAGAGATGGCTCAGCACTTGTTGCTCTTTCAGAGAGGACTTGGGTACCATTCCGAGCCCTACACGGTGCCTCTCAGCCATCTCTAGCTCCAGTTCCAGGGGGGTACGATGCCTTCTGACTCCTGGAGTCACCACACACACACATGGTACCCATACATGAATGCAGGCAAAACATTTACATGCATAAAATTTAATAAATAGATCTAAAAACTAAGTAATCAGAAACAGAACAATTATGACAGCACACTATAATAAAGCGCTGTGAATGAGAACAGTCTCTCTGTGTCTTACACTATTTTATTGCCTTGCACTCACTCTTCCTGTCTTGATGTGAGTTGACAGATGCCTACGTGAAAATATGAAGTGATATAGATTAGTACGGCAGCAGCCCGTAATGGCCTAAATGGCTATTGGGTAACCCCTGGGCATGGGGTATGCTGAGCCTGGATACATTGGATAAAGATCTAAGTCTTCTTCCAGGGGATATAGCAAAAAGGCAAAAGATTCATCCTGCTGTTTAAACTGTAAGCAATTTAAAACGTACAATTTTTTTTTTCTAGAATTTTCCAGCAAGGGGAAAAAGCAGACTTCCTGCCTGGAAGAAGAAAATAACGGTGATGCTGTTTTATGGAACTTTGACTGGTTAGAAATGTCTCCTACAGCACCAACTAGTTCTTAGCATCATGGTTAAGACTACAGGGGCTGGAATTAGCAGGGCAAACTCTCTGGCTCAGTTTCTTATTGACCGTGTGATGGGGTGAGCTATGGAACCTTCCTCCCCTTGTTTCCTCGTTGCTGAAAGAGAAAGAACTTTTCTCAGGGGGTCATAAGTATTCACCGAAAGCACGCATGAGAAGAGCCAAGTTGAGCACCTCATTAGCACTCAGAGTCACCAGCCTCCTTAACTGCCTTCCTTCCTAAAGTATCTCCTCATTTCCCACCGCTTGCCCTAGACAGCCTCCTTGCTGTTTCCTTGCCTTCTCCTCTTTATGTCAGGGAGTGGTATTTGTCATCTAACTCTGGGGGATGAAGTCTCAGCACTCTCAAACTTGACTCTTCATCAGCTGGCCACGCCCTTCCTTTTTCCAGTCTCTCATTCTTCTCTCCAGAGCCCCACAATCTCTTAAGACTTCCTGTAAATTTTGAATTTCTTACAATATTATACTTCTGTTTCTGTGCAAAATTTTCTAGTTACAGATTTTCTCTCCTTTGCATTCCATATTCTTCTTTCTCATCACAGTCTGGGCCCAGTCAAATAGCTGTCTGTGAAGGCTGCCATAGGGGATGCCTTGGGGTTTGTCTCCCCCCTGTCTTTGATGCTCTTTCCATATAATGTGGAGACCTATCTTGAAATGAGAGCAGGATTGACAGCCCAGGCTTTCTGGCCAGGGCATTTAGTTCAGGGATAGGAACAGAAATTGTAATGACAATGATTGAACCAGGACTGGAGCGATGGCTATCTGGGTAAGGATGTTTGCCACACATGAGGACCCGAGTTCAGTTCCCAGAACCCATGTAAAAGCTGGACTGGCAGCTTGAACCTGCAGCCCCCACATGGTTGCAGGTGTAGGAGAGCAAGACAGCTAGGGCTTGCTGGGTAGTCAGCGGCAAGTTCCAGGATCAGTGAGGGGCCCTGTCTTGAGTTAGTAAGACAGAGAGGGATAGAGCAATCCATCCAATGTTCAGGATGCCTAGTGTCGCCCTTTGGCTACCACATGAGTGCACGCGTGCGCACACACACACACACACATACACACACACACAAACACACACACAGATGTGTGCACTCATGCATACACGAACAAAACTGAATCAGAGTCAGTCTCATCACAACATTCTAGCACAGCACTGCTGATATCACAGGTCAGCCTTTTTTGTTGTCTCAACTGCCTTGCTACTGTCCGTCCTTTTACAACCCTAGGCAAGCGCTAGAAGTAGCTTATAAGGTTCTGGGGGAACACAATTCACCCAGTTCTTAAATAGGATTATGCACACTGGGAATAAACAATGAATATAATAATATGGCACTCTTTAAGCAACAAGTAGTGGGTGTTTCTCCTCCTTATGTCCTTTAGCTTTTATCTCAGAAATATTTTGTGGACTTACTTATAGGTGTGTTATGTATCTTTTTTTTTTTACATTGTGATACTATTACAATGACATGTAAACCTTTTTTTGCTGGCAGCACACCTCTAGAACCTCAGTATTGGGGAGGCTGAGACAAGAAGATGGTGAGTTGTCTCAAAGACCTTTATTTTCCCATATATATATATTTAATATAATATATATATATATATATTTAAAATATTCCTTTTGTCCATAGGGTCTTCGCTATATTCACTTGCCAGTTTTCAAGCTTTCTATACTTAATTGGATTTGACTATGGAGATAATCATATTATCTGTGAAAAATAATTTGTAGTAGCCCACTCCTTTCCCACAGGTTTGCTCTCTGCAATTTTAGTTCTCTGTGATTAGTCACACCCTTGGTATGAGACCCAGTTCCTCTGCAAAAGCAACAAGTGTCCTAAACTGATGAGCCATCTCTCTAGCTCCACGCCCCAAAGCATCTTTAAAAGGAAAGGAAGAGTCAAGCAGCAACATGCATTGCTCTCTTCTTCTTGACTGCAGTGTGACCAGCTGCCACCAGGACTTCCCACCTTCCAACTGTGAGCCCGAATAAACCCTTCTTTAAGTTATTTTTGTGAGGTATTTTGTTATAGCAACAAAACAAGGGATTAACACGGATGTATGGAGGTGTCACCTGCACACAAACAGGCACACATACAAACACACAGAGTTTGGTACTCCCTGTGATTTCAGCATCCACTGGGGTCTTGGAATTTGCTCACTGCCTGTGGATAAGCAGGGGCTACTGTGTTTGGCAGTCTGTGGGACACATGTTTTCTCACATCACCCTCTGCAAAAAAGCCCTGCTCCCTAGTCCACAGGGGAGTTCCTGCCCTGCCTTTAGAAATGACCTCCAGCCTGGGCTCCTCTTGAGAGCAGGCCTCTAGGTCCCCTTTCCATGTGCTGTCAAGGGGGCTGTTTCTCCACCACATTGCCTAGGCTCCGTGGGCTTTACATCTGCCTTTGTGTCTGTGCAACTCAACAACAGATGGTCACAGCTCAACTTAGCACCAGACTGCACCTACAATGTGTGGATACTAAGATCATAACTTGATTTAAAAAAAAGTACAGATTCTAAAAGAAGCTTCGGAAGAAAAGGCTGAATGTGTTTGTGTGTGTGTACACTTGTGTGTGTATACACATGCATGTGTATGTTTGAGTGTGTGTTCTGCTCAGAGTGACTCCTTTAAGTAGAACTCATTCTGACCTTGGCATTCCTCAAATTCCTTCTTAGCTATACTACCAGTATTTGCCCAGTGGCCTTGGGCATCTGGCAGAAGATGTTTCCTACACCGTCCTTGTCCCTGCTTACTCTCCTGCAGAAGAGCTCTGCATTCTAGAATACAAGCCTCGTGAAGTTCGGGGTCACATTTTAAAGGGGTGTGTCCTCAACATGGGGTATAGTGTCTACTACGGGGCAGCATGATCAGTGAAGTAATTTTAAAGACAGGAATAAAGTACCTGCCCTTCCATGGGAAAGACTGTGCACAACTGGTGAGTGACATTCTAGAGGATATGTAGAAATCCCAGTTGACTGCATGAGTTCAAAATCAACAGAACCCCCTAGCTCTACATCAGCAGAACCCCCAGTTCAATATCAAAAAAAAACCCCAGATCAACATCAACAGAACCCCCTAGCTCAACATCAACAGAACCCTCTAGCTCAACATCAACAGAACCCCCTAGCTCAATATCAACATAACCCCCTAGCTCAACATCAACAGAACCCCC